CGGCCGCTCCTCCGTGTGCCCGCGCAGGTGCACCAGCAGGTGGGAGCTGACGCCGTAGGCCTTGCCGCAGACGCCGCAGCAGTAGGGGCGCTCGTCCGTGTGCCCGCGCCGGTGCCGGGCCAGCTGGGAACGGGCGGCGAAGGTTTGGCCGCAGTCGGCACAGGAGTGGGGCTCGCCAGGCGCGTGGCAGGCCCGGCGGTGCTGAGCCAGCCGCCGGCCGTGGCGAAAGGCCCGCCCGCAATCGGCGCACCGGTGCGGCTCAGCGCCACGGTGAGTCTCCTGGTGACGCCGGAGATTGGCCTTCTGGCTGAAGCCGCGGCCGCATTGGGCGCACCGGTGGGGCCGCTCGCCTGTGTGGGTCAGCTGGTGCTTCGCCAGGTTCGACCGCTCGCTGAACCCTTTGCCGCACTGCGGGCACCGGTGGGGCTTCTCGGCCAGGTGACTCTTGCCGTGCTGGGCCAGGGCCGAGGCGGTCCCGTAGGCCTTGCCGCAGTCAGCGCAGCGGTGCGGCCTGTCGGCCAGGTGGGCCTGGCGGTGCCGGTTGAGGGTGGAGCTCTGGCCGAAGGACTTGCCACAATCCGGGCACCCATAGGGGCGCTCGCCCGTGTGGGTGCGTTGGTGCTTGACGCAGGACGAGCTGCGGGAGAAGGCTTTGCCGCATTCGCCGCAGCGGTACGGGCGCTCCCGGCAAGCAGGAGCAGGGGGAGTTACCGGCTTGGTGGCTTCATCCTCCTCGGCCTTGGAGATAGGGAAAGGCATCAGGGTCAAGGGTTCCCCTCGGGCTTTCACGTCAACATCCCCGTTGAGAGGCTCCATCTTGGCCATGGTCATCCATGTTGCCTGTCCCTCTTGGGCCTTTGTGTAAACAGACCCTTTGGGTGGCAGCATCCTGGTGTCTTCGGCCTCCTCCTCTGTCTTAGGGACAGACAATGAATCTGAGGCTACACGTTCCGGCTGGCCCACACCAGGAACATCCATGTTTGGAGGCATCATCTTGGCCATAGTCATCCACGGTGAACATCCCCCTCGTGCCTTCACAGCAACATCCCCGTTGAGAGGCTCCATCTTGGCAGTCTCCTCCTCCTCTTCGACCTTAGGGACAGTCGGTGAGACGGAGGCTGAACGTCCCCATTGGCCCTTCCCGGGAATGTCCATATTGGGAGTCAACATGTTGGCCACGGTCATCCATACTGCATGCCCCCTGGTGGCCTCAACAACATCCCCTCTGAGACACGCCATCTTGGCGACTTCCTCCTCCTCCGTCTTGGGGCCAGTCAATGACACGGAGGTCAGGCCTCCCTCTTGGGCATTTCCGGGAACTTCCCCGATTGGTGGCGCCATCTCAGCAGCTCTGTTGTCCTCGGGCTGACATCTGGGCCCATGACCTGAGGAACAAGCAAGGGGGTGCTGAGTACAAGGGCCGCCAGAGAACGCCGGCCACCCACTGACACTGTCATGGGAGCGTCCTGCTCCTCAGCCCATGCACGAGAGTCTGGGGACAGGAGGAGAAAGACATTGAACTGGGGACAGTTCCGCTCACGCTCCCCGGCGACCCAAGACACATGTGGGGTTCTGTCTGGAGAGAGGTGGGACCAATTGGGAACTGTGTGTCTTAGAGAGGAGATGGAAAAGAAGGCATGATACGCCTTCGTCCATCCATCTTCCTACCCATCCATCCACGTACATGACCATCTCACCTATCCCCATACGCACTTCTCTATCCATTTATCCATCCAACCCCCAAACAATCCATCCATCCCCCCTATGCCTCTCTATCCATGTATCTATCCCCATACATCCTCCCATCTATTCATCCACCCCCCC